AACATGCAAATCTCTTACTAGCAACAGTAAACTTCTACAGCTTTGAGTTTTAGTCCATTACACCTCTAAATACATACTACTTATGTTCATTTCTGAATAAAGTCTAATTGGACTGAAATAGCACATAGTCAGCAAATGTGGCACAAGCACTCTCTACAAAGAGGTCTTTAAAATAAGAGGTCATTTCTACTTACGACAATTGGACAGATAGTGGCCAACTGATCATAAAGGGATCTGGCCTCAGATATGCTGCAAGCTTGGAACGTTACCTGTTTAAGAACAACAAGTGATTAATGACAAATCATCAACGTCCTCCCCTAGGAGCAAAGTCTAAGGAGGAGGATGGCTGGGGAGGAGAGAGGGCATGGTGTGCAATGGTCACTCCACGGCTAACGCTTAACACAGGAATTTTGTTGAAAAGTTGCCCTGGGCAAATTTTGTCAAAAAATGGCGTTTGATCGTGTTCACAACTAATGTAAACAACCATTTCCAAAGTTAAATACAACTGAAATATCAGGAAAGGCAAGGGAGGCACTAAGTAAATAGTTCAGCAAGGCATCATCTCTTCTGCTGGCTCATTTCCCTCCACAGCATCCCATGCTCTTCAGTTAGTTCAAGAGGGAGACAAATTTTGGTACAGAAGGATAGAGATACTTATGATGAGTTCCAAAGTTCACTGGTAGCCAAGTATAAGGAATAGCTTGGGACAGGGTGAGACTGGAGGAAGGTATAACAGTTAAAATACTGCAGATGAGAAGGATGTAACACAGGAGGGCTGTGGGAGGAGGTAAACTAAAGTCAAAGCAGCAGCCACTGGGGGTGACTAGGGTATAGAGAACGAAGGTGTGACTTAGGGTTTGGCTTGGGTGTTCCTGGGACATGCAGTGAGTGGGGGCACCAGGACACGATGAGTGTACAAAGGAAAGGAGCAGATAAAGCAGCCCTTTAAGTGGCTGGGTCTCCAGGGCTGAAGTTCAGAAGGAAAAGTCTGAGATAGGAAAGTATTTAGGGAGTAGGCTCAGACAACATTCTGAAGATGGGCGGGATCACCCGGGAAGCCTGCACAAGAAGGTAAGTAGAACATTGTAGAGTTAGATCAAATCATTCTTTACTATAACTGTTCTAAAAACAATTACCCAAAAGAAACCAAAAAAGTGCTTCCTGCCTTGGGGTGGGGCAATGGAAGGGACTAGGAACACAAATCCTGGCTGTGTTAGCATATTGTATTAACCACAAACAGGGAACAGTTTTCATGTCCTCTGTTATTCAATAATGACATTTTGAACTTAGTGTTGGTGCAGGAAATAACTTAAGGGCTTAATCCCTGAAAGAGTAGCTGAGCGAATGTTTAGTATTATAATCTCAACCTGTTATTTCCCGTAGCTTTCGCCAGGCCTCAAGTTTCCTTTTTTAAACAGAGAACTTCTGTTGGGAGACTCACCATCTACCTGCAGAATTATATTCATGTCAGTGTGGTAACTACAGACTATTTAGACAACTTGCTATAATTTCTGTTGCTGATTCAATGCTATATTTTAATTGAAATGTACTGGCAATTAACTAGCCATTACAAATTAATTCAACAGAGAGAAACTGTATCTTATACTTTAAGGAATAAGAACACCAAAGGTTAAGATAAGATATTAACATTCTTCACCAAAACAAGGCAGTTTCTGCAAAGAGGTGGGAACTCAGAAATCCGCTTGTGCAAGGGTAAGGATAAAATGGAAAGAGGAAAGAGGGTGGGGGGAGGGGAAAGCATTAAGCCAAGTACTTACACAATTCTCTGCTGGGACACCGCCCCCCCCCCCGCCCCCCAACCTAAAATGTAAGCTTCAGGAGGGCAGCAATCCATCTTGCTATGCTCTATTCCAAATGTGGAGAGTATCTGACACTGCCTTAGTGTTTAATAAATATTTATCAAATAAATTAGCATATCTTGGAGAGAGGGAGCTAAAGAAGAGAACATAGGGGCAAAGATAAGTTTTATAAAATGGTGGTGAGATACTTGAAAAACAGTGATTCTACAGGCCAAAATCAGATAGATTAAGAATATCTCAATGTTCCCCAAGTGTTTTGACTGCTGAATTCTTTTGAACATGCACCTCTTAGAGTTTTTTTTTTTTTTTAATACTCTTAGGCATTTTAGCCTGTGTGTTGTTTTTAAATAGATACAATGTTAAGTGTTTTCTCTTTTTAATTTTTTTGATTGGCTTCCCGTAGATAGCCTAAGATATACAACAATTCACAGGCAAATCCTGGAAAAAAGTATGCTTATGAAAATTCACACCTGGAATTCCATAGGTAACAACAGTGAAGTAACTTAGTTATTTTAAATATATTTAGTAACTGGCTTTAGTGTTCTAGAGCTAATATATCTCCAAATAGGACAGGACTGTTGTTAATGGCTGACAGTGTGGGGGGTGGGGAGTTTCTATACCTTAAAGTATGAATATATAAATTCTGGTGTCCTTTTAGGGTATATCTCATAAGAGAAACTGCGTTGCTAGGAAACAGAAGGGGGAAAAAAAGGAAGTATGAAAAATAGATGTTAGAAATCTAAATGTCTAATCTAAAATTTACCTAGAATCCAGTTTGAAGCCACCTGATTTTCTTGGAGAAAACCTATCACAAGGTAACAAACTTACTAAATGATTCCTAAAAAAATGCCCCAAGAGTCAAGATTTCAGTGGAGTTACATCATTTCTTGTTTTGTACAGTTAAGTTTTCCATTAACTTAAATTACTTTAAAACTTTTTCTGCTTCACTTTTACAAGCAGTTTCTAGTTCTCCACTTGAGAGACACAGGGTGTTTTTGTGGTGATGTGTAGAATTCATCTCATTTCCCACACACTTTACATGATCTGTGTGGATTGTTTTTTTAAAGATTTATTCATGAGAGAGAGACAGACAGGCAGGCAGAGACACAGGCAGAGGGAAAAGCAGGCTCCCTCCAGGAGTCCAATGTGGGAACCAATCCTGGAATCACACCCTCAGTCAAAGGCAGACGCTTAACCATTGAGCCACCCAGACGTCCCTGTGTGGATCATTTTTTAGGTGGAATGTTCAAATTAGGGTCTTGGACGTGCTACTGACAAAAAACAACTTAATTCTAAACCTATGACAAAGCTTAAATTTGGATGAAAAACTATCTACAAGTAATAATTTTTAACTACCCACCGTTAGAACACATTTATTTGTACAAGGGAAAGACTATCCCCCTTCAGAATGAAGTAACTGTGCTGTCCCTGGCAAGGTACCCTAGTTTAATATTAAACCAAGAAAAGGCAATCAGTACTCCCATTGCACTGATACAATTTTAAAGCCATGCACTGTAAGTTCTAGAGCTTGATGGTTCTTTTTAGAAACATTTCTAATTAAGATAAGAAAGCAGATATGCAGGTAAAAGTCACTTTTTTATGAAATGTGATCATTTGTAAGAAAACTTACTGGCCTGTTTGGAAGACGCACATTTTATACTGCCTGTGTAAGTCAGGAAAACTAGAAAAAAAATTATGGTTATGTAAACACATTTTAGCATGGAAAAATCTGACCCTGGCATTCAATTTTCACTTTATATAGTTGTAAAAACAAGCACATCAGAGCTTTACACCCAAGAAGGCATGTATCTATGCTGTAGCTGTCTGGGGTGATGGAAATGCTGAGTTTTTTGGCCTCTGGGTTGGAGAGCAGGTAGTTGGGAGGTCCAGGGACTCACGTGGGGGGCCAGGCTTCACACCACTCCAGGCCTCTAAAGGACACCATTTCTAATCTTCTGAAGTAATCAGAACTGGATACAATCTCCTTGGTCAATAACAAGTGGCCTCTCTTTTTATATGAAATTTTCAATTTATACTTTGTGCAACTTATACTCCTGTTCTCACATGACTTTAAGCAAATGAAAGGTTAAAACAAGCACTTCTGTTGATAAAAACAACAAAGTACGTGTTGGCTTAGAATCAGACCTAGATGGGAACTTAGTATAAACCTTCCAGTTAACTAAGGAGAAAATCAAGACAAAAAGAATTGAGGGGAGCTACCCAAATCCCAGAGGAGGAACAGCTGCAGCCTGAGCGCATTACCCACTGCTGCCAGGTGGGTCCTGTGCCCGCCCACCCAGATCCTAAGTGAGCTTGGGCACAGTCCCTGCCAGGGGCACCAGCCATCTGGTTAGATCCACAGAAAGTTTTAACCAAGGAAAAGAGAAAGGCTGTACTACCTTCTGTGTGAGATTTAGCCGGGACAAGGCAAATATGGGCTGCTGAACATTTCTTTTCATACCACTAGATGGCCTTGCCTGAATATGAAAACTTAAAGTCCAAACAATCCTTTCCTTGGATCACAAAGTCACTAGAGCACACCCAGAGTTCACTTTCAGAAACAGATCTGAATGTTACATGTTCTAGGCCTGTCCATCACTAGAAAGAACAGAGAGAGATCATGGAATATCTCACACTGTAAGTGAATTAGTGACCATTTATCTTTGTACTGAACTGGAGATTCTGTGAATTTTCTATCAAGAGATAGTTACCAATGAATTTACTAAAATCACCAGTTTTCAGAAAGGCACACTTTGCTTTCATTTCAACCTGATTACAATGTAATTGTAAAAAATGCATGTTTATTTGAAAAGTAGCGAGTAGAAATAGATGAGGGTACTCTGCCTCTGTGTGTGATTGAAACAATACCTGAAGACAGCAATTGCCCATCCCAAATCCCATGGCATCCATGTAAATATGATCAGGCTTAGAAGCCTTGGCTGCCTCCTCATCCTCAGGAAACGTTTCTATAAACGGAGATGGTGTATTCTTGTCCTTAAATACTGTAGGATTAAATTAAAAAAAAAAAAAGACAAGGGTAAGATTTAAGGATTAAACAATTCCCCAGGTGCCTCTCCCACTCTACCACCTTGCTGTGGACTTACTTGGTACATTGATGACAACTTTTTCTCCTCTCCTATGTCGGATATTTCTTGTTAGGGTACTGAAACAGACAACCAAACGTCATAAATCAGTCACTTAAGAATTGCCATGTAAAAGAATTTGATTATATACAAGTAAATAGAATGAAATCCTACCTCAAACTAATTCTCCGAGGCAATCCTACAGAGTATTTATGTGGATCAAGATATTCTGAGGCAATTTTCTGTGAGAAGGCTTTGCATTTTTACCACTTCCTCTGCTGCTTGCTTCAGATTACCATTCTCTTCTCTTTTATTTTTTTATTTTTTAAAGATTTTATTTATTCACGAGAGACACAGATTGAGGCAGAAACACAGGCAGAGGGAGAAGCAGGCTCCATGCAGGGAGCCCAATGTGGGACTCGACCCCGGGACCCCAGGATCACCCCCCGGGCCAAAGGCAGGTGCTAAACCACTGAGCAACCCAGGGACCCCCTCTCTTCCCTTTTCAACCTTGGATACCCCAGTTCCCTGTAACTTCTCAAATCAAATCCCAGTTTCTGCCATGGTCTGGTCTCACCATATATTTCTAACACTCCCCATGTCTACTTCAAAAACTTCAAGCTTTAATACTCCCTTTTCCTAGGCATCTCTGGAGCCCCAATACCTTGTTACTGTCCCCCTAAATCAGCAGCATTAAAACCCATTCTCTAGACCCAGTGTCTAATCCAGAAGCCAACAGGCACACTGTGGCTGCTGTGCACTTAAAATGGGGCTAATCCTAATTAAAATATGCTGTGAGGATAATATATACACCAGATTTTGAAGGCTATAAAATACAAAAATGCCCTATCACTAATTTTAAAAAATTTTGGATAAATTGGACTTAAATTTTGTAATATGTTCCTTAATCCATCTTTACTTTTTTCATGTGACTGTTAGAAAATTTGTTTATTTATTTTTTTTTTTTTCCCGTATCATTATTTTTAATGTCCAACGTTTATAATATGAGGGCCGGGGGTTTCTCCTCAACTCAAGTTTATAAATTTTCAATTGGCTTGTGAGGCCAATAGGGATACTACTTCTTGTCTAATTTGGTTTCTGGGAAGACTTCATTCAGGTCCTCAATGGTCATCTGATCAAATGGAATTATGTTCTTCATCTTCTCCAGCTCTTTTTCATATTCTTCAATCCTGGCCTTTGAGAGGAACAAAAACTCAGCACAGCTTTTCACATCTTCTTTTTCCTTAGCATCCACCTGGACAGTGTATTTATCCTCTGGCACAGGAACCTTCAGGGCATTAAACTTCTTCTCAAAGTCATCTACCAAGACAGCTTTTGCCACATTGGCCTCGTAGTAAGCCCAGTCGATAGGTGGTTTCTCAGGAAGAGCAGCCAACCTGGAGGTAAGCATCTCATTCCAGGACTTCAGGGAGTTGGCAATGGCCTTCTGGTTTTGGGGTATGATCTCCCCCAAAGCTACCCAGTCAATGGTTTTTAGAGCAAGTTTTCGCCCAGCCATCTTGAGATCCTTCACCGACCCTGGCGGCCCACAGTCCAGACTGTTAGAAAATTTAAAACTGTAGCTGGGGGTGACATGTTCCTAGTGGATAATGGTGATGTAGACTCAGCTAGCAGACTACCTCTTTCACATGCCTGCTGGGATCCCCTCAGTCAGAAGCATCCTTTCTCTAAAGAGGGTCTCTGGTGCATCTAATTTTTGGCATCCAGCATAATCTTAGCTTTTCTTACAGCTGAATCTATTTCCCCCTTGACACATTATAACATTTGAAGTTGGGAACTACACCTATAATCTGTTTCCCTCCAAAAACTGCATTTAGCAGGTGTGCAGACCTGTTAAAGGAATGAACACTGACAAGTCCCAAAGTCTCCACCTGCAGGTCAGGAGCCTAGGTTTAGTATGACAGAGAAGACTCAAGATACAAAAAGCAAGATCATACTGGTGTGGGCCATGAAGCCACTTTAAAACCCAGGAATGAAACCGCAAACTCAGAACTAGAAGTCAATAGAACAGAAGGTAAAGAGATGTACATATTTTTTTTTCATATTTTGTTTTATTACGAAGGTTTATTGAGTGGGATGAGATCACTTAGAGAAGGGGAGAAAAAGTAGGAATGACAAAGAGAAAACTTCCCCAAATAGGTGTTTATAGAACTAGGGCTGAAAATTCTATACACTAAAGACAACAGCAGCTAAACCAATGACTTTAAGATGACTTGTAAGATGGGCATGTCGAGCTAGGCTCTAAGAAGCCCCAATCAAGCAGTCACATGTACATATCCTACTGGCTTCTCTGGTTAATTACAAAAGAAGCCTAAATTCTGTAAGTGCTCAATAAGAATTCTGGGAAGGAGTACCTTACTTTCAGCAGGCAGGGCTATGAGTGAGGGACATCTATATTTAAATGCAGAGTCATACTCACCTGAAGCGGGGGTGCTTGTTTATGGCTTCATCAGGAAAGAAGAGGGACTTGGAAGCTCCTCCTTCAACTGGATTGGGTTTGAATTCTGGCAGCGTGAACCCAGGACAGCCTAATCTACAACAAATTGAAGAACTAAGTAGGTAGGATTTATTTTCAAAAGTTAATTATGTCTTGCCATCACTCCACCTGTTTAGAACCACCCATGCCTGTCTGGTTTCCCCCCTACAGGGAATCTAGCCCATGACTGCTGTGTAAATACTGTACTTTACAAACTCCCCCTTGTACTTGGGTCTTCCTCACCAACATCTTTTGTGATTGCAGCCCATTAGTGACCATCAGAGACCCTCCATCCACTCGGGATCTTCAGAGTGCTTCTTCATGTCCTATCCATCTCGATTTAATAGCAAGGATCAACAGCACAGAAGTCCCTCAGCTGGGTCACATCAATTGTCATAGGTTACAGGTTCCCCCTACACAACATCTGATGGTCTTCCTTTACTAGCTTTCATCTCTTTTGACCCCTGCACACCCCTACTGCCCTCAACCTGTTGATAAGCTTTATTCATATAGTGAAGGGCTCTCCTGCCTTTTGCCTTTACAGGTCACCTCAGGAATCCTTCAATTATGTTGTCTCTACAGGTGTTCCTGTCTACCCGAGATCTCCCTCTGACGTCCGACACCCAACTCTATTATCTTACTTGACCAAATGATGAGCTTTAATTCCAACACAGAAAAAGGAAGCTCTGTATTTTTCCTTAAATGTAAAGCTCAAATTCCACATCCAGCACTTCAAATTAAGAATTTTAAAGTCATTGTTAAGTGTGCTGTGAGAGAGGACGAAGACCTACAAAGTTCATGAATGCAAAACAAGGGAGGCTCTTGTCAGGGCTTTAGATCAGTGGTAGGAAACTTTTGGCTTAAGAGCCAAGACTACTCATGCCTATGTTCAGCCCCTACCTTTTATAAAATAAAGTGCCTATTGGCTGCCCATATCCGCCTTGTGAACAACAACGGAATTTGCTGATCTTATCTGGAAAACAGTTTCCAGCTATAATGAGGGTTCCTAAGAATTCTTGCAGCTGTGTGCATTATTTACTATGAGCCTGCAAACTTAGGGGAAGTCCTGTAGAGTGGCAAACTTTGATCTTGGGAATTTTGAGCCATCCAGAATTAAGCTGAATGGAAAAGGAAAAACAAAAGGTGTTCGGCAGGACAAAGTAATCAGAACTCAGATCCTCAGATTTTTACAGTACTGCTTATCTTCCAGACCAGCAGCATCCAACAAAACCTTCTGCAACAATGGGAATGTTTCATGTCTACCCTGTCCAACACGAGTGTGTCCAATACATGCGGCTAGTGAGCACTTGAATTCAGGCTAGTGACTGAGGAACTAAAATTTCCATTTAAGTTTGATTAATTTAGATATTCACTTGGCCACTGTTTTGCATTACAGCTCCATGATAGTTTGGCCTCTTTATAGAGGCTAAATAAATTATAGTTTATACTTAAGAAACCAAGTACTCCTTTCTCTCTTGACCCCAAATCAAAACTTTCCTTATCATTTACTGCTGCTAGAAGGTGAGGCTTCTCCAACTGAATTATTTTGTTTACAAGTCCAAAAATACCCTCCCATCAAAAAATATATATATTTTTTTTAATTTTTAGAATAAATTTACTCCTCTGTCTCAACTCACCCTTTATATTAATTCCTACTGCTTTTAGGATAGCAACTTAAATTCTTGGTTAACATGATCTGGCCCACCAACTACTTGCCCAGCGTCCCCTTCCCCAGCCTCCGTTTCCTTCTCAGCATCCTGGTCCCACTGGCCAGTCTTCTTCCGGTTCTCATGAGGCTCCACACTCTCCTCATTCATCCTGGAATGACTGCCACTCTGTCTCCTCTCCGTAAGCTGTCCCTCTCCTCCTCCCTCTTAGTCAATTCCTACCAGGGCTCTGTACCTCAATCATCCTCCCCACCTTGCAGAATCCACCTGACAACCATGTCCCACTCTCTGCTCCCCATCTCTTCCTCACAGCACTTCCTCAACTTTATATCCCCTGCATCTGTGGGTATCTAATCACTCAGTCTCCACATACGCAAAGACGGTGCCTGTTTGTATTCATGGCTGCGTCCCCACATTGCATGGATCTGGCATGGAGCAGGCACTCCAGTAACTGAGTGAATGGCAGAGTCATGATTTCTTTTTACCTCCTCCTTAAAACACTAGGGCAAAGGACTATGCCAATTCTCTTCCAAGCAAACCTGTCCACCCTCATCCAACTGGGGTTTTTCTTCTGGCAGGGGAGAAGAGTGACCTGCATAATGGAATGAAGGAATCACAGAAAATAAGAGCTCTATCTCTAAATGTTTGAGTTGTTTAAGTAGGGTTTCAACTATTTAGATGTTACACTGAAGATTTTTAAAAAGAAAATTCCAAGTGTCCTTCCAAAACCAGCGATAGGACTCTAAATGCCTGTGTTCATTATGGACATTTAACAGAAAAGAAATAGGGCAAAATAGTTCTAAATGTTTCAGTCTATGAATATCAATCCCCAAAGCTCTTCTGAACCTTGAGGAAGTAAGCATACTTTGCCACAATGATAGACATCTAGCACAGATAAAGCAGATTTACAATTTGGTAGAACTGCATTTGTTTGCAGAGCTACTAATGTATAGTTGTACAATATTTATGTACCTCTTTCTAAACTAAGAGCATAGCTTCACTATTTAGGTTTACCTTGTATTTACTTTTATAAACTTTCAGCTATGACTAGCTTTGATGACAAACTGTAAATTTCCGTTTCAACCCAAGACTCAAACATGGCCTAATGACCGCCCACCCCGCCCCCCTTCATAGTTAGGATGTATCAGTTACAGACTGGGAGCACTGATACCAGCCCTCTATCACGTGACCCTCCAATCAGCTACCAATACCACCATTCGCCAGTGGGGAAAGAGGCAATGGGGAAGCAACTGTGAGAGTCTGAGAGAAGAGCACCTGATAATCATCAGACTCAGCTCCTCCTTACAGGGTCAGAAATGCTTGGCAGATCCACTGCTCCCTCCACCCCAGGCTGGGGTGGATGCTGCCACAATGCTAGCAGTCATGGTGGTCCTTACGGTCTTGTCCACTGAGGCCAGATGAATGCTCTCACCACAGTGTTCCCCATCCTGCCCCCCACCACCTCCTGCTGAAACTGGCACATGATTTCTGTCTGCAGCTCTAACGTTACAGATTCCATCCAACACAGCATAAAGTATGAACTGTCCATGAAGTATGAGAACTAAATGCTTGGGTCATGATCTGCTCTTTATAACCCAAAGCTCTCAACTATCTGCTGGGGCATGTTAATATAGAAACTAACCTGGGAAATGAAGTTATTGTACAGAGAGCCTGATTTTCTCCTAATAGAGAAGTTGCTTCCTTCCGACGTTTCCTCATGTTGTCTTCGACTGTGTTGAACTCAGACATGGTTCCACCGTACGGCTGTCCAGGTGTGCCTTCAATCATGTAACTGCCATACTCTGGTCTCCACAGGGTAGGATGGCTACAGTGGAGGAAACAATTCCAGTCCATCATATTTTGCTGCTGTCTACTCAATTTTTAGAAGTCTTTAAAAAGTCACTTCAAAAAATTTAAACACCCATTCCATATAAATGATGCTAAGAACTCCTTTACAGTTCCCAAAGGCTGGTAATTCTCCAGAGCTCTTCAACTGTGAGAGGGTTAGGAGTACAGGGTGCAAAATATTTGTAAGTAACTGAAAACCACACCCAGGGCACTCATTGTTCAAGACAAGCTAGTCCACTTTGTGAGAAGTGAGAAGAGGCCAAAAGGGCTCTTGCATGGATCTGGCATGGGCCTCCAAATCCAAATGCTGCCTTCCAAAATTGAGGGAATAGAAAGATGGAACTGGAAAGTGCCTTTACCTCATTGTCTAAAAGAAATCTTTCAAAAATCCTGCTAGCCCAACAAACTCATCTGCAAGTTTTATCTGCAACCATGGTTTGGGATCTCAATAACACTTTGTCCATGTTTTTTTTTTTTTAAACATTTAATAGTAAGCAGGCTTTATACTGAGTTTATAGTTCTAAGTGCTTAAATACGTTAGTGTATTTAAAATGTCAACATCCTACACTGGAGGCATTATTATCCCCATTTTACAGATGAGAAAACAGGCACAGGGAAGCTAACTTGCCCACAGTTATACCCAGCTATGAAGTAGGGGGACCAGAGCCTGTGCTCCCAGCCACAATGCCATCCAGCCTCCTATACATCTGAGCAAAGATTCTATTTCAGTAGTTCAAGCAGGTTCAGAAACACTAAGACAACCCTCTGATATAGCAGCTTACTTTGGGTTTGTCCTTTCCCCCTTTTCTTGTAGAGTTTCAAGAACTTCCTCTCCGGACAGGACCAACCGGACTTTTTTATTTTCATGATCAAAAGACACCAACATGTACTCCACCTATTGAAAGTAAAAGAAAGATTAACCTTCCAGACCACGTTCAGTGCAAAATTCAAGAGAAGGCAGGGAAATGTGAAGGTTGGAAAGGACCCACAAAACTCAAGAAAGTACATCTACTCATACTACATGGCACACAATGAGTGTTCTTTTGCATAACAGGAAATACGGGAGAAAATGATCAGTCAATAGTGCCACTGTTTGAGGACCAGAACTTCTTTCCTTAATTACTTTTTCCTCCTGCTCTCACTTAATATCCCAAAGAAAAGTCAAGATGCCTATTTTGACTGAAATACTTTTGAAGTTCAAAGCTAAAATTCTGTACACTACAATTAGAAAAAGAAGTTGCACTTTAAAATTTATTTCCTCAAATGGCTTACTGTAAGTTTATGAAAGTGGTTAACTAGGAATATTGTCATAATAGATTATTGATTTTTTACTGGTGGGGTATTAAATCCCATTGAAAGTCTCCCTGGTGGAGAGTTAAATCATAATCATAAACACACCAGTATGGAGAAGTTATTTTAG